TGGCAAGATACCTCTTTTAATATTCATAAACATAAATGATTCTATTTCAGCTTTTGTGTATCACTATCAACTTGTGGGCCAAGTCGGTTTTTTGTTGAAGCATTTGCATGTGGTATTAATAGATGTCTTTTTAAATGTATTTTTCCCACTGACTAAAGACATCAAAGCCTAGATTGTCCATAAATCCAACCAAGATCATTTAGCATGTCCATGCGCTTTATGTATTCCAGTGATTTAGGGAAAAATCAAGCACTTGGGAAAGAGGGTTGGATCACAAATGATTATGCTTGGGATGGGGATTTAGCTCAGCGGCACAGCGCCTGCCTGGCAAGTGCAAGGTCGTAAGTTTGATTCCTGGTACCGGAGGAAAAAAAAAAAAAAAAACCAACCTCACCCCCCAAAAATGATTATGCTGTATGTTAAAAGTATTTTCTTAAAATAGTAAGAAAAATTAGTTCCTTGTCTTGAATGGATAGATTTGTAAGAATCAAGGGCAGTTACTACTATTGTATAGGAAAGTTCCTTTTTTTTTAATTTTTTATTTTATAAAAAAACAAAATTTCATAAAAAAGCAAATAACAATAGTTAATACACTGTGTATAATTATCTTCAAAGTAGTTACTCAGAGTACAACACATGAAGCAAAAAGATTCTTCTAAAACAGAAACAAACAGGTCATAACAAAAGTTTCTTTTCAACAAACTAAGATAAACTAATAGTGTAAGTGAAACAAATTAGAAGATACATATAGTAAAATAATTTTGAAACAACAAAATACGTTATTTGGGGAAATATTTCAATTTATCCCTACTTCCTATATATGTCCTTCTATCTTGCTCTTTCCTTGTGTACACATACGTATATTTTGTGTTTTCCATATAAGAGAAACCAAGAGATACTTGAACTTGTGTGTCAGACTTATTTCACTTAACATCATGTTCTCTCGCTGCATCCATTTATCTGCAGATGCATCGTTTATCTTTCTTTATGGAAGCATAGAACTCCATTGTGTACAAATACCACATTTTCCTTATCCATTCAGCTGTTCCTTATCCATGTACGCTGCTTCTGAGATCTAGCTATTACACACTGTGCTGCTGTAAACACGAGTATGCAGGTATCCCTGTAATATGATTTTAAGTCCTTTGGGAGATACCTGGAAGGGATGTAGCCAGTAGGAAGGTTCTTAGAAGAATATGGTAAAATTGAAGGAATGTCTGATTTTAATTTTTCTAATCTCTACTTCTCCCTCAAGAGGAATCTTCATGCTATTTTCACAGAGGAGAATGGAGCCAATTCTCTTAGGTCACACTGTGACACACACTCTACAAAACCTGCTGTCTTTGATTTATCTCTCTTTTTGTTGTTCCTGTTCTTCAATGACGTGTCCTGTGTGCACCTGAGAAGACTTCGGCTTCAGCCTTTGCTGCAGCTCTACAACGTGAGCTGCTTAAAGAGTTTCATGGGGTGCAGATGGGACAGCTTCTGGGGAAATAGACGGCGTCCTTTGTGTAAGGCTCGGATGTGTCCGGGTGCCGTCCTTGACTCCTCACCCAGCAGAGGGGCAGAGCAGTCAGGGCATAGTTCTTAAAGCCACAGGAGACCTAAATCAAACTGACAGGGTTGTCTGCAAAGCCCAGGCAGGTGGCCCGCAAAGACAGGAGAGAAGAATCATAAGTTCATGGAGAATGGACTCATTAACACTTGCTGCCTTCATTAAAACAGCAAATGCAATTGAAATTCCAGGGTGCCTAACACACTTCCATTAATGCAAATGTAGTAGATTTATAACTAATTTTCTTATGTACACAATTAACTGAAATACACCATTTTTTTGCTGCTATTCATAATGGACACATCAAGGACGATCCTGTAAGTATGAGACTTCCTCCTGCGGTACCATTTTTGTACAAGTCACACAAACAAATAGTCTTGAGATCCAAGTGGAGAGCTGAGGAGCTCAACTCCTGAAGTTGTAACGGTCATTGGCTTTTATACGTCTTGTCAGTTGTTCCTTTGTAAGCTTCAAATGAATGAAATCTTTGTCCTTCTGTTTTTTGTTAAATGCAGGAAAGTCCAAGAAAGGTAGGACAAATCCCAAAAAGCTGCATGTTTTTTTTTCCGGCAAATACTGAAAGGTCATTGACAAGTCATCTTTAAAAAATGATCAGATTGTAAACTCTACAGTAGTGGAATTTTTTAAATTACTTTTTTTAATTTTAATTTTAAGGAAAAAAAATCAAAAAATCAAAAGACAAGATTCCAAAACAGTATGATAGGAAGGTAACAATGGTTAATACATTGCATATTGTTATCTTTAAGTGAGTTACTCAGAGTATGAGATATCAGCATTTAATTGTCCAAACAATATTAGCACAGATCTCTTTCAAATGAACTGAGACAAATTAGTAGTATAACTGTTTTAACATCAGAATAGAATATCATTGCACGTTTGCAAGAAATACAATGGTAAGGGCAGCTGCATGACCTTCTTTGTCTTTTTATTATAAGGCCAGAACCTTCAGGAAACAAGCTCTGGGGAAGCATTGATTTGTAAGGCTTAGAATCTGGATGAAGAGTGGGTGTTGTGATGTATGCAGGCTAAGTGTAAAATATGTTTTTCCTCTAAAAAAGGCCAGATATCAAACATAGAGCAGGTTACAGCGGGAAGGTGGGAGGATCTAAGTGGCTTTTACTCTTAAACCTATTTTGTCGGAACAGCTTAGTGGAGAGTGAAGCAGAGTTTAAATGCCTGGCTTGCACAAGTGAGATGGTCGTACCAAAGCGAGGGAGTAAGACAGGAGGCCGGGAGACATGTTTGCTGGACTGTGCTTCAAGTGATTAAACGGCATTGTGTCAGCTTTAGCTCTTAAAAACCATTTACTATTGACTGCTTGGAGAAAAACAATGGTTTTATACATATAATCTTGTTTATGTTTTTCCTACTTCCTGGTTGATGGAATTTTTTCCCTGTAACAAATCTTTTTTGACTAACTGTGCATGTACCATAAGGTTGTTCTCTTTTTTTTTTAACTTCTCGAGTTTTTCTCTGTAAATTTAGATTTAATCTAAAACGATGAACCTTATTCTATATTAATCTGGTACTGTTACTAACTGTCTAAAGATGCATGTTGGAAGTATTTTGTGTTTTTCTCATCCCCTTGTCCTCCTTTTTGATCTTGTACCTTTTTTCCCTTTCTCCGTCATTCTCTTCCTTCACTCCTGACTTGCCCTGTACCTTCTTCCTCGGGCTGTGGACTGTCGTTAGGAAGAATGAATTCCTCAGCAGGTGAGCTATGACAGGAAGGCTGGTTACTTTTACCCCCTTAAGCCCAGGCTATAATTTAAAATCATGCCATTTTCTATATGAATATTCAGATAACTATATGAAAGTATGTAACATTCATTTGTAGTACACTGACATATCTCACAGTGGTTAATTCACAGAAGGCTTTTGGGGTCCAGTTGGCCAGAATAAAATGAATGTCCCTTGTATATGCAATCTATAGGCTTCCAGACAAGAGAGAGCTGAGTTGATTTTGTTTCCTAATGTGTAGTACGAGGTCATCCTCAGATACTCTTCCTGGGCTCTGCACGTCACTGTCACACTCTCTCAGTCTCGTGCTCATCTATGATGTTTCCTCTGTTGAAAAGACCCATGTGTTCAGATGGCCAGCCTACAGCCCAAATCCCTAAACCAGCTCTTTAGGCACACGCTTGCAGTGCCAGGGTCACAGGGGAGAGGCCCTCACCCTTACTGAGAATGGCAAGGTGACTTGTGTTTTTAAAAATTTGCTTGTAGGGAGGAGGCTGAGACAGGTGACAGTTGGGTCCAGTACGATCATGAACATGTTGCCGGTTGGCAGAAATCTGTAGCTCCCTAAGGGGAGCATTCCCGCTCACTGTGGGAAACGAAAGTCCTGCAACCGGATGTAGTGGTGTATAATCCTGTAATCCCAGCACTCTGGGAGGTTGACAGTAGGACTGAAAGTTCGAGCCCACCCTGGGCAACTTGGCCACTTAGTGAGACCCTGTCTCCAAATAAAACATAAAAAGGGCTGGAGGTATAGCTCAGTGCAAAGGCCCTGGGTTTAATCCTCAGTACCCCCTCACACGCACACGCACACGCACACACACATGCACATGCACAGAGGCCTGCATTAGGAAAGATAGTTTCCTCAGCCACAGGTTTTGTCCAATAGGATGTTTATCGGGTAGTGGCTAGAAGTTCAGATACAGTCCAACTCAACAGATAGCTGTTCTGGGGGATTCATACTGACCATCCTTACCCAGTGCCTGGTGTAATATGGGTGTCTGCTATGCACCCATCTGAAAATGTTGAATCGTTGTAGTTTATTGCCTCTCTCACCTGGAGGTTATAAATTCATTTTCTTATTCTGTGGTGCTTTTAAAAACAACCAACCCAATCAAACAAAACCCAACCCAGGAAGCTCAGAGGGGCAAGGCGTACAGCTGTGTGGGGAACAGCGCACTCCCGTCTTTCTGCTTCCTGGGAGGTGTTGGTTGTGCATGGGGACCGGCTCTTCCTCAGTAAAGGTCACAGCACAGGTCATTGCCAGGGACATCATTCTTGTGTGTTTGAGATTCCGTAGCTGTCTTCTAGGGATTTTTCATATGAGAACAACAAAATGTCTTCCGGGTAAAGCAGTACCAATGTGCAAACTTTGCATGCCACAGCCTTTTTGGAAATCATAAGGAAATACACACGTGTAACTTTTCAAGTAATTTCTGGGTTTTTTAAATCCTTACATAATGAATATTTGGAAACAATTTGGAAACACTTGAAAAGGAGCAATCAGTAATCCCAGAAGTTCAAGTATGAAAGGTAAACATTTGAATAATGAATTATTAGTGGCTTTCTTTTTTAAAAGGCACAAATTCCATGCTTAGGAATGCACTGGCTTAACTGAACACTTTATGCATTCATCGTTACTGTCAATCATATCCTATCTAATCTCATGGTGTGCGTGTATGTTTTGCATCTTCTCTTAGCTAAGTGATACAAGGTATACGTATACATATATGATTTTCATATGCATAGTGGCAAATTATATGAAGGAAAGTTACTCCTTCAGAAATTTATTAATATATCTCCTTTAGATATCTAAAACTGCTCTAAATAATGGCATGAAAACTGCATGAAGCCCAAATCACTGTACAGAACCATTGGGTGGATAATGAATTGGTAAAGCATTACAGACGTGGCTTCTATTTCTAAATGGAAATAGTTCAACAGCCGAGGGAGCTATCTGGAGTGAGTCCCCTTCTCTGACTAATGAAAGGCCTCAATTCGTTAAAAGGTAGAGCAGAAGAGGTGGAATTCATATGGTCTAATTGCAAACTCTTAGTAGCTCTGGTATAACTCCTGGGTAATGGCGGCTATTAGGTAGATATTTCTCTTATCAGAGAGAATGAAATTACAAACTATAGAGACATATTTTAAATGAATCTAGGCATTTATTTATTAGTATAAAAGACAATTTGTTTTGTTATGCCTTAAATCAGCACGTTACAAGACCGAGCCGTAACGATAACTTCACGTGCCAGCTGTCTAACTAGCAGAGTAGAGAAGGCTTACTTCCGGTGTGTTTGATCATACGGATGCCTACATTTTCCAGTGGTTATCGCTAAACACTGATTGTTAAAGTGGTAAAAGAAGAGGATTAGATACACAGTAACAGGAAGAGTTCAGTCACTCAAAGGACTGTTGACCCTACATGTTTTAAATAAGTAATTGATAGGCGAGGCAAGGCGAGGGGTAGAGGGAGAAGAGAGAGAGGACAGAGGGATGAGGGAGAGACAGATGCAGTTTGGATCTGAAACATATTAAAACATCAGAGGCAGTGTGCAGGTTTTTCAGATCTTCCACCTGAAAGGTCTCCCACCTGCTCTTTTATGACCAGATTGAATGCTCCTGATGTGTGACTACCACTGATTTCCCAGTAACCCTGCGATTGCTTGTCACTAGGCTTCATCTTGTCTTCACTTGAACACAGCTATTTCATGTTTCTGGGTTTTTTTTTTTTCTTCTTTTGTGTTGAATGTGTGCCAGTATGTTATTCTCCATTGTACTGAGTTACAGGAACGAGATAAGAGAGCGCCAAGTGGTCCCACTGTCAAAATCAGCCACAAGACCACTGCTTTGAAACTCTTCCGTCCACTGGGCGTGACGCTCTTTCTTTGATTTTCTTGGCTTCAAAGCAAATTAGACAGGGGCTCACATTTCATACGTAAATGTTTCTGGTTGCTGGCTTGAGCCTGTAGACACGCAAAATGCTGAGACTGATCGATGAGGTGTGTTTGTGACTCTTTCCTTAGGTTATAATCACCAACACGTGAGTGAAGGACAAAGGCAGAAATCTGAATTTTACAACCGCACAGCATCGGAATCAAATGTCTACTTGAATAGTTTCCATTACCCCGATCACAGCTACAAGGACCAGGCCTTTGATACTTTGAGCCTGGACAGCTCTGATAGCATGGAGACCAGCATTTCTGCCTGCTCTCCTGACAATATCTCTAGGTAAGGTCTATGTGTGGGCATGGTTTCTTGTTTATCCCAGCTCCTTTTTTTTGTTTATTTGTTTTTGGTATCAGGAATCAAACTCAGAACCTTGCATTTGCCGGGCAGGCACTGTACCACTGAGCTACATCCCTGGCCCAGGTTTCTTGTTTAGAAAAGCAAGGTCTGACTTCAGGCATAAAGTCAGCCAGGTACAGGGATACACATCTGTAATCCCAGCTACTCGGGAGGCTATGGCGGGTGGATTGCAAATTCAAGGCCAGCCTGGGCAACATAGTCAGATACTGCCTCAATAAACAAGGTATAGTCATCAATTTTATTTTATTTTATTTTATTTTATTTTATTTTTTGGTACTGGGAATCAAACTCAGGACTTTGTGCTTGCCAGGCAGGCACTGTGCCACTGAGCTATACATCCCAGGCCCTAGTCATCCATTTTAGGTATTATATATGTACAAACTCAAATTTTTAAAATTTATTATTACATATTTTTTATTTTATTAAAAATAAGATAAAATTTATAACAATAAGAGAATAACAATAGCTAATATCATTATCTTCAAAGTAGTTAATCAAAAAACAAGATGTAAACCAAAAAGATTCTTACAAAGGAAAAATAGATAATCACACACTTTCTTTTCAACTAGGATAAACTAGTAGTATAAATGAGACAAATTAGCATACATACAAAAATAATTTTAAAATGTAAAGTACAATGTTCCACATCACGGCAACCTTGGAAAATAGATTTTTTCTATCTTGTATGAATGAGCCGGAAGTTATGTAGGCCATTTTCCCATTTTATCCTATTCCTTTATATTTACTGGGTTTTTGTTTTTGCTTTTGTTGGGCACCAGGAATCAAACTCAGGACCTTGTGCTTGCCCGGCTGGTGCTGTGCTAGATCCCTGGCCACTGAGCTCGATCCCCGGCCACTATTTCTTCATACTTGAGTTCACATTTGCACTGTGCTTCCAAATCAAGTTGCGTCCATTGGAGGCCTGTAAGCTTCAGTTGCACTGCTTTTGATTAAGTGGAGAAATAATTCCCAATAACAGAGATGGAACTCTAAAGGCTTTTTTACCCTTCGGTTCTGTTGGAAGGAAAGGGTTAGCTATTCTGCATATTAAGATTTTCATAAGGATTATTGACCTATCTACATTTGCAGTGGTACTTTGAAGCAAGCCAAGGTGATACTAGGAATTAGGGCTTAGGCACAGGGAAAGTGTAAGTTAAAGTGATTCTGTCATCTGAAGCGTGGTAGGCCTCTGCCCCCTACACAGGGGTCACCCAGATGGTGGTGGAGTAGATCCAGCCCAGCCCTCCCTTCTCTCCGCACTGAGCTTCTTGTTGACGGAGACAGTGAGGAACTCTCAGATTTCTGTGCCTCTGACCACGTCAGTCCGTAACATTTTCTCCACGTAGGAGCCCAGAGTTAGGGTTAGGAAGTTAAGGAAGGCAGCAGGAACACCAGGTACCATTGCGGTGGTGTTCAGAGTGCTAATCTCTGAGACATCTTGATAATTCTAGCAGAAGGGAGATGTGGCGCGGAGTTTACTCTTCATTGCCTGTTTCCCAAGACCCAAGACCTATTTTCTGAGCTTCGTGTTTGTTTAGAGTGTAAATAATGATACTGAAAAAATAAAAAGGCCCGGCTCCAGTAACTTTCTGGTAGTCAAAAAAAAATGATGTCTCAACATAAATTGAAGGACAAATGTACCCACAACCAAGTAATTCTGTCGTTCTTCGGATGGCTTCTATGACATCATAAGCCACAAGACCAACTTCATGGCCCTGAAATTTCAGCATGCAATTACCTCTTTAATAGACTTACAATTTTGGTACATTTTAATGCATAATTTTAAGAAATCTTGAGCACAACAAATTTTTAGTCCTTCATTGTTCTTTATACCAATATTCATGAAGTTCCTCACTAAGGACACGTCACCCCGTATGTCCCACACTTGGTTTCTTATATCTGCCTTTACCTAACATTTAGCATGTTATTTTCTATCACAGCAGCAGGTAAAAGTATCTAATTATTGTAGGGTAGATGGGACACCGAAGACAAAACACCTCTTTTTCTCTCTGTCCCCCTTTTGTACTTGACCCTTTATGGGCGTCTTCTATTTTGTCTTCAATTTTTTTGACATTTAAAAGCTCCAAGAGCACAAGGAAATAAACACTAATTTCTGCCCATGAAGACTGGTTATCTATGATTGCTAGGACAACCCAGGGTCAGCTTCATGTGAAGCAGCTTTGAACAGTTATCACAGCCAGAAATGGTGATGCTTCAGTAATTCTATCATAGAATTAAGGTGTCTCACTAGATGCACACACACACACACACACACACATACACCCACGGCAGCTATGTGAAGTAATGGAGATGTTAGTTTGATTGCAGTAACCACATCACAGTGTATATAGATAGCAAACTGTGACTCTGTACACCATAAGTATATACAATTGCCAGTTACCTGTATACTCAGTAAAACTGAGAAAGAAAGGAAGCGATAAAACCTGTACGAAATCCTCACAGTGAGAGTAGTCGTTAGGTACTATAAACAGGTACTACTAAAAATGTTGAAAAAACATTACGTTGTGCATGATATATACAAATTCGTCATTTAAAACTAAAGCATGTTCCAAGCCAGAACAAAAAGAAAGAAATCTAAATAAATGAGGACTGCATAAAAATGGGGCAGAGGAAGGTAGACTGTTGGTAAGCTTGTTTGCTTTTTGTAAGTATGTGATTTTCAAGCCTTGAAACCGTGAAACTCAAGATTGCCTCCAAGGTACTTGGAGACATACGATGCATTCCATGTCCCAGCACTGCAGAACGTTAATGTGATTTGTGCTGTTATTGGCCCAAGCAGTATGTCTTCAGCTTGCTCAGGCCGTAAAGTTCATCCCTTTTCCATTTGTGAAGTCAGGTTTTGCCAGTGAAGGGGAACACGTACGGGTGCACAAAAAGTGAAGATTCTTCTCTTGGATTCTTTCTAGCTGAAAAGACCAGAACTTAGCCTTTTCCGCCTTCCCTCATAATGAATGGAAATAATAAGAAATCACCGTGTTCTTCTCAGGAGGAAACAGCTGGTGAACACTGGCCCCCGGGTGTCCTGCACGACAGGCTTGTGAGGGTGCTTGCTGTCCTCTGAGGCTGTTCCCCTCTCTGAGACTCTGCTTACCGCAGGGCTGCAGTGCTGACTTAAACCCTCCACCCGGTGGTTATTTATCTCTGTGAAAGAACTCAGCCCTGGACTTGAATCACCCAAAGTTTGATTTGCTCAAACATATAATTGAGGGATATTATATTAGCAAGTACTTACAGCCAAGAGAGCCCCGATTATTCACTTTAATATACATTTTCATAAATTCATTTTTATATGAATGCGGGTCTGACATCCAAATCATTTAAATGAAGGAGAGGCCTCCGACAGCTGTCCTTTTTAGACTTTGAAAGATGTACTTGAAGGCATGCCTTGTAGGATTTGGCTTTGGTGTATTGATTTATGAGTAAAGCAACTTACTTTAGCAATATTTTGCTTGATTATGTGTGTCTCCTAAACTGAGGTAAGTCAGTGTCACCTACAACTTTCCGAGTTGAATTGATTTGCCTCTTCAGACCAGCAACTTGGAAGTCACATCCCTTAAATAGTATATGCTTGCATTTGGTCATTCACCTTGTGTGTGTGTGTGTGTGTGTGTGTGTGTGTGTGTGTGTTTCTGAGCCAAAATTCTCAAAAGGCTTTGTGTTTGGTTCAGTGCCAGCACTTCAAATATTGCCAAGATAGAAGAAATGGAGAGGCTGCTGAAACAGGCTCATGCAGAGAAGACCCGACTGCTCGAATCCAGGGTAAGCTCAGGGTCCTCCTGCCAGACGGCCGTGCTGCGGGATGAGCAGCACCAACCACGCACCACCCTCCTAAGAAAGCTTCTTGAGTGCTGTGCTCCTGCAGTAGTCCCTCTACCTCGCTCAGCCTGCTTTCTCATTTGCAAAGTAATTTCTAAGGCTTATTACTGTACCACAGTTCACCATAACTGGAAAAAACACATACGGTATGTACACAGTGCTCACATAGACTGAGACGGTTGAGACAGAGATGGACGTTCCGTGCTGTACTTTCCCCTCGGTGGCCTCTTGGCATTTTTGCCCAGGAAGCGGGAAGAAGGTGCCTGCTTGCTTTCCTGGACTTCGCAGCACGTGTGAGCTGCACCATTGTGATCCTAAAAATCCCCCATTATGTGCCTGTATTTCAAGCTGTAGCCTGAACTTCCGTAGGAATCCCCCAATGCCTTTGCATCCGGTCCTGAGGGAACCTCCTTTCCTTTGCTCACTTCCCCCTGGGCTTCCTCTGTGACCTTCAGCCGGGCAGCTGCAGGCAGTCACAGGAATCGGGAGGCCTGGTGGCCTTCGGTGAGAAGATAGCCGCCCACAAAAAGGCTGAACCTCACGGCTAGCGCTGAGTCATAGTTTGCGGCTTGTGTTAAAAACGAAGGAGTTGCAGCCGTTGATATAAAATGACTGAATATGATCACAAGCTCAGTTTCACTTAAGACCAATTTTTTTTTTTTTTATTTGCTGTGAAGGGGATCAAATCCGAGGCCTTGCACATGCTAGGCAAGAGCTCTGCCGCTGAGCTGCCGCCCAGCCCAACACCAATATTTGATGGTTAATTAAATGTACTGATTGTGTATCTGCACTGAGTGAGCTTGGAGGCTACGCCAGAGGTGATTATGGGCTGTGTGAGTCTAGGGTGTGTATCTGAAGAGACCAGAACACACACTAAAAGTTAGAATTTTGCTTTTGGCACTAGTTGGAACCATTTTGAGGATGACCCGTGTGTCTTAATCTGCTCTGCATAATATTTAGGAGCGGGAAATGGAAGCCAAAAGACGAGCTCTGGAAGAAGAAAAACGACGCCGAGAAGTCCTGGAAAAACGACTGCAGGAAGAAACCAGCCAGAGGCAGAAGTTAATAGAAAAGGAAGTAAAAATAAGGGAGAAGCAAAGAGCACAGGTTGGTTGATCTAAATACATGCGTATAGGTTTCCCTCTGGCGGTCGTTCTGTAGAAGACAGTCTGAGGATGCCTGCCTTGTCGTCCTGCTTTAGCGCTGACTTTTCCCTATTGGAATGGAGCGTCCTGGTGGTAGAGGCGCATTTTCTTCTACCAGTTCTCTGAAGTACATTGGAAAGAATGGTTGGGAGACACTTTTGAAAAATGCCATTGGGTTGGCTGCTGAGAACAGATACAAGGTCTAGAGAAAAGTCTTCAGTGAGCTGAGGATATAGCTCAGGGGCTCAAGCGCCTTTCTGCCTGCCTGGTAGGCGCAAGGTCCTGAGTTTGATTCCCCGTGCAAAAAAAACCAAAAACAAAAAACCTTCAGTGAAGGAATGAGTCTGTGAAGCCATCTTTGAGGAATAAACGTGTCAAAACTGGACAGTTCTACCAGCCCAGTTTCTTGGCAGTGGTGTTAATTTTCTTTTCTTTTCCTGGCCACTGCATGGTCACATGTGTCCCCTTTGCTACAGACCTAGTGTATGTGCATAAGATTACTGAGCTCAGGCAAAATTCAAGAAGGCCACCCATTTTGTTTAACTTCCTATCTTGCGCATCCTAAATTCACAAGCTCGATTCTGCCCCATAGCTGCTTGAATAATGTGCATTCTCTAAAGATAAAATAAAATTTCACTAAGGGCTGCATAAATTAAAGCTCAAATCAGCTTTATCATTCATCTAGTATATTCAAAGCCAAAAAATGTGATGTCCCTTACTCTTTTTAACTGAAAAAGTGATGGTCTGATGATCTGATGGTACAGCAGTTAGAGACCATCTTCAGAGCTTGGTAGGTGCCCAGGTATCAGTAAGCCTGTGACATCTGTCTGTAGTCAAGGACCACAGAATCAAAGGTAAAATATTGGTAAACAGAAAGTGAAACTTTTCCATTTTATCGCGTCATGCCTAACTTTTACAAATTGATTCCCTGTTAAAATCATCTATGCCTATTTAGTATCCGAAGCCAAACCAAAAAACCCAAGTCTATTTTAATCCTAATTATCAGTTTTACCCCCAAGTATACGATTAGATCATTTTCCCCAGGCAAAGGGGTGGGGTTGCTTAGTAAGATAAAACACCATTTTAAAACTATCTTCAAGGGTTATATATGCTCCCTGGATGAGAAGAATGTTGACCTTCACCATCAGTAAAGTAAAAGACATCTAAATATAACCCTTTGGCTTCTGGTCTTGGGCATTTCACTGTATGAGATCTAGCTTCGAGTCCACTTCTAACTTTATTTTGGCTGCATTTTCAAAACATATATTACCTTCAGATCCTATTAGAGTATACATAAGCTGATGCTTGAACTTTGGGGATCTTTGGGGGTTGTGCTTGCTGCATAGTGCTGGTCTGTCATGCCCTGTCTGGGTTACTTGGGGAGAACTATTGTTATGTCGTGGTGGGGGAAGCTTCTGAACTCCTTGTGGAGGACCCTCAACTGCAGGGAACAGTCCAGATAAATTCACTGCTCACCTCCATGTGTTAGGTACTTAAGTACTAAGTATTTCTTTTTTTTTTTTTTTTTTTGGTTTTTCTCCGGTACCGGGAATCGAACTCACGACCTTGCGCTTGCCAGGCAGGCGCTGTGCCGCTGAGCTAAATCCCCAGCCCCCTAAGTATTTCTTTTAAGTTAAAATAAATGACATTTCTCCATTCACTCCCATCTCAAGGAATAGAATCTAGTGTCCTGAGTTTATAGATCCCCTCCCCGTGTTACAGCATCCTACTCAAAATACTATCTACCTGTTAGTCTCCAGTTGGTACATGTTGTTTTTATTGTAAGCACTCACAAATACATGGCCATTTAAGTAATTATTAATTTTCTTTGATACTGGCAGTCAGACTCAGGACCTTGGGCTTGCCAGGCGGGCGCTGTGCCGCTGAGCTACACCCCCGGCCTACATGGCCATTCTAAAACTTAAACTTTACATTTAGTTCCAGTTTCTAAACATCTGTAACCTAAAATGAAGCAAATCATCAACTGTGGATGGAACGGACTTTGCGATTTTTCAGGCTCGTCCTCTGACGCGCTACCTGCCGGTCCGGAAGGAGGACTTTGATCTCCGGAGCCACGTGGAGACCGCCGGCCACAACATCGACACCTGCTACCACGTGTCCATCACAGAGAAGACGTGCCGAGGTTTCCTCATCAAAATGGGCGGAAAAATTAAAACTTGGAAGAAACGCTGGTTTGTTTTTGACCGGAATAAGCGAACCTTTTCTTATTACGCAGGTGGGTGATTAAAAAAGGTAATCTATTCAAATCTGTTACAGAGCAAAGTCAAGTGAGATTAAGTATAAATAGATAACATGGTAAGTATAAAATTAACAGCAATATTAGCTTTGTAGATGACATTATTTTATATTCATATTATGTAGTTCAGTATGATAGGAATTTTATTTCTACATCTAAAATGTTACTTTCAAAAGTATGAACTAGTCTATTGTATTTTTGCAATAAACATTGTCATTGAAATTTATTTTTAGCATTAAAATATTTCCCTTTAAACCACAAGGCTAGAAAAAAGGTTTTTAGTTGTTTATTTATAAATCCTATTTAAATCACACACAATAAAGACATTCAACTAGCTGGCATTCCTAGCCGACAGTCATTCAACAAGAGAATCCACCAAAAAAATGTATATACACATCAGGACAAGAAAAACTTGTATAAATATTTTAATACTAAATTAGCTGCGACATCATGACATTGATACACATTACCTTTGGCCTCTACAATTGCAAGATGTGCTCAAAGTGGTGGCCATGAGCTTCCAGACATTTATTAGTAGAGCGAACTGCTGCTTGGGGAGCTTTGGCCATTGAGGTTGCTGCACACGCATTTTCAGTTTCTTCTCTAAGGGCTGGTGGTGCAGTGGGTTTTCTGTGATATACAACATCCTCTAGGGTCTCCCGTACGAGGGTCACACCATCCACTGAAAAAAATTATAGTATTTTTCTTTTCCTGAAGTGTGTACACATTCTTTTGGCAGACTCTCTAGTTTACCAGTTATTATAATCTTTTAAGCCCAGAGTAGAGCTAATCAGTAAACTAGTGAATAAGTATTTATAAAGCATCTGAAACATTTTTGGATCCTTAAGTGCTGAATTACGAGGAACACCTCCTACTGAATCGTATAGAGTGCAGGAATATTAGTGTAACTGGCATGCTTATTTAGAAGCCCTGCTTCCTCTGGGATTATATGAAGGATATATCCACTCTAGCACAGGTCTAGCGCAGCTGTCTTCCCAGCTTCTGAAGAGGAGTGGTGTCCAGCAGGGCTTATGCTTCAGGACTCCTGTATCAGCATCTGAGCATCATGATAAACTGAACCAGTGTAATCAATGTAAAATGAGAATCCAATCAGCTCACCCATCCAGCGAGGTCTGTTAATATTTCTGAGGAGGGGGTGAGAAACCCAGGTGCCTGTGGAGTAAGGACGTACTGCCAGGGAGCCCCAGAACAGGGCAAGTAGGCAGAAGTCAGCAGAAGCAGGTGGCCTGTTTGTCACAGGTCCTTGCTGTGCCTCTGGGGCTTTCTCATTTGGAACTTTATGAGAATCCAGAGCAGCTCTCTTCAGTTAGTACAGCAGGAAAGATGCCTCATTAATAAGAAATCTAATCTGTGTCTGCTGCTAAAGGCATTTTTTTTTTTTTTTTTTGGTGACTGGGTCTCACTGTGTAGTGCAGGCTGGCCTTGAACTCGCTCATGTAGCCCAGGCTGGCCTTAAATTAGTGGCGATCCTCCTGCCTCAGTCTCCCAAGTTCTGGGGTTACAGGTGTGTGCCACCGTACCCAGTTACTAAATGCATTTTAGTCTTTCTTTTCTTTTCTTTTTTTTTTTTTTTTTTTTTTGGTACCGGGAATTGAACTCAGGACCTTGCACTTGCCAGGCAGGCACTGTGCTGCTGAGCTGTATCCCCGGCCCTTAATGCATTTTAAAAGAACTGGACAAAACAGCTTCACTCCTCCACTTCCTTCCCCAGCAGCTCAGCGGCCCCCTCCCCCCACCCCACCTCTACCCCAAACAGCAGCCATCACATGCGGATCAGTCCCCGGCCAGTCATCTAGACCGCAGCTCCCAAAGGACTTGTTGCTGCAGAAGCCTCATCAGCTGCTCAGCGAGGGGAACGGCTGTGTGTGTGTGTGTGTGTGTGTGTGTGTGTGTGTGTGTGTGTGTGTGGGCAGGAGCTGCAAAGGACTGCTGAAGCTAAAGGCACAGGCCTCACGGACTGCTCTGCTGCTATACTTTCAAGCCAGGATGGAATCTTTTTCCTGGCCCTGGCCTCTGTCCTTGGCCTCCTGTCTGTTAATCTGGAGCTTTGGGAGCATCTCTAAACAAGGCACAGGAAACATGTCTGGTCATTAAGGGGATAATGCTGCCCAGAGACGCAGTGAATAATAGCAGCCTGGTTGATCCTCTTGGCTCGCTGTGTGGCTGAGGGCCCCATTCTCCGGTGTGCATTCTCACAGATGAACTCTCATTCCCTAGTTTCCCGTCTGCTTGAAACATTGTCAGGATTGACTGTCATTTCCAGATTCGATTTTATATCTGTTTTGAAGAAAGGCATTAGTGTCCTCCCATTGGTTGTTGCAGGATCCTTTCCAGAAAATGTTTGACACATACAGGCCTTCTCTTTTATTAAAACTAGTTGAAAGCCACCAAAAGTGCTATTAATTAAAACACTATTTCCCAAGCAAGAGGCAAACAAAGACAAAAAATATGGTCCTTGGTCAAATAATGTAGAGAGATGCTGGATTAAGTGCAACTAAACATATTAAGTTTATTTTCTGGGGAACTTCTCTGCGCCATTATTTTAGAGACTTGCTTTTTACTGTTATTGGGGAAAAGGAACATTCACTTTGTAAAAAATAAAAAATAACCAAGTCTGTGTCATGCTAATAAATCTTTCCCATCACAGTTCTGACTTTCTCCTACTGTGAAGCCTGAAATACTCCAATTTTCTGGGGCTAGAGATTTAGCTCAGTGGCATAGTGCTTGCCTGGCAAGCGTGAGGTCATGAGTTTGATTCCCGGTACTGGAAAAAAAACAAAAAAAACCTCCGATTTTCTTATTTGTTTTATGTTTTAATATATACATGTATTATATATATATAATACATGTATATATATATTTTCTTTTTTATAGTTTAGGACCAAACTCTTTACTGTCTTCACACCCTATTTCTTATGAAAGCAGCTCAAAATTCTTTTCCTGTGAGCATATACAGGTAGACACACCTGTCGCTTCAGTGCTGTACAGCTGCATTGTGTGGCTGGCCTGTAATTAAGTCAGTTGCCCCATAAGCGCAAGCGTATCTCTTTTGCAGCTGTGTGCCATTAAAAAAAAGGATCCGTGTGCATTTGCACATCCACTAGTGGGTCTTACACAGTAAAGTTGGGAAATGGAATTGCTGAGTAAGAGGATTTTTGCATTTGTTAAATTTTGTTTGTTCTACTAATTGCCTTCTGAAAGGGGCTTTGTCATTTGTGTCCCCAGAGCGGGGACAGGATGGAATCTTTTTCCTTGCTTCGTCACACATACTTTTAAATGTGTTGTTCACATGCATTATGGTCTGTACAGAGTTTTAATTATAAGCTATTTCAGGAATTCAGTAGATCAGAGTGGTGCTGTTGCTATGGTTGGTATTAGTTTCATGGTAAATCTGAGGAAATGTTTAGAAACAAGTTAGAAATAGGAAAGAAATATAAGTAGAACATTATAAGTTACATTTATAGTATTTAAAACATTTTAAAATTTCATTACAACTGTGATGTATATTAATATTTCCATTACAAAGAGAGCCTTGAAGAATGGGAAATATTTTGTATGGGTGGCGGTAATGTTTCTACTTTGTTTGCTAGTGTGACAGTCAGTAATTCTGGGCTGTCTCCTGACTGCTAATTTGCTGAAGAGTTTTGGACAAAGTAGTTGAGTCTCTTTGCTTTGGGTGTGAGAATTTCCCAGTTTTCTGTTGTGTTTGTTTGACCATAGAACAGGGCTAATGTACTACCCTAGGTTATCTGAATTAATCTTAGATCATTTAAATGCTAGATAAATATTTTAATGATAATTATCATAAAATTATAATTTTCCTGTCCCTCAATAAAGTATTTAATGCTCATCTATCTTTACAGACAAGCATGAAGCAAAGTTGAAAGGAGTAATATATTTTCAAGCCATTGAAGAAGTCTATTACGATCACCTCAAGAATGCTAACAAGGTAGACACCAGTTTGTTAAATTCCTACAATTTAAATGTGTAATCAAGGCAGGAAAAAGGTATTTTTGAACTTCAGGCAATTTAGATTTGCCATTCTCCTATAACATAGATATGATCAGAATGGTGCTGGAATGTTAATATTGAAATAGGTAGGACGGCTGACTCTTTGGGGGGTCACCAGGCAGTGAGGAATATTCCGGATACACTAGTTTGGGACACCTTGCAGACTAACTGCAAGCATTGTGGATGGTAGCTACTATACAGATATGAGGGAATCATAACTTAGTAGGAACTTAACAGGGCTAACAGTAACTGCTACTATTTCAAGTACCCCTTATCAGCTAGGTACCATGCTTTACAAAGGAGCCAGTAAGAATTAGTGAGCTCTGCTGAGGTTTCCTGTGGTAGAAAGGCCAGAAACATGATCATTCCTAAGAAAAGCATGGGAAGGGGGTTTAACTGAGCAAGCGTAATGCCTGCATAACTTTCTATCAATGGGAATTTTTTAAGAGGAAGAAACCTTCGCATATGTCTGTTATTTCATGTTCTGATTTTAAGATATTTTTCTTTTCCTGTTTTGAATTTCAGAGCCCTAATCCATTACTCACCTTTAGCGTCAAGACACATGACAGAATCTACTACATGGTGGCCCCATCGCCGGAAGCCATGCGGATCTGGATGGATGTTATAGTTACCGGGGCAGAAGGTTACACTCACTTCTTGCTGTAGCGAATTGAAGCAACAGTCCACTTCAGGGCAGACTGCAATAATCTCTTACAAGAATGAAGCCATATTCAATCCCAGATGGAAGGACCCAACAGACCCAACCCTAAACTGTGTGCACTCAGAACTCCTTTCGTAATGAGAAGTTGTTTGTAAAAAAAGAAAGAAAGAAAGAAAGCGTTTTAATTCAAAGCTTGATCATAAGTGGCAAAAGAATTGAAGCTCCTAGAGTGAAGAAACGCTATTTTGATAAATACCACTAAAAGCACATTTCTTTTTCTAAATTTTTTAAATTTTATTTTTCAAGATAAATGAACCAAAACATATTAACAAACACACAGACATAAACAAAACAACATAAAAGCAATAAAAACAATACAGAATTTCAGACAAAGTGAAAAGAAATTACCAATGGTTGCTGTATTACATACTGTTAAAAACTATTTTTTATCAGTTGGCTTTGGTGAAATAAACTAAACAGTTTACAGTATGTCTGGATATGTGTACTTACGAATATGGAATTACTGTAGCACCCAAATTGTTGTCATTGACATTATGGTAATCAACTGGCTTTTTTTTTGTTGTTTCCTTTGAAGTACCATTTCACAAATATAAGCAAATAAAGGCTTGGTGGGGAATATGTTTTAGGAGTTTTGCCTTTAGGAGTACTTTTTAAGTACTCCACCAACACCAAAGACTTGACATGACTTCTGTTTAACTGTAGTAGCTTAAAATAGTGTAAAGTAGTAGTGTTCCTTTATATTTTAAAACAGTATTTTGATGCTACCAGGTGCACAGGAAATGGACTTTGCAATATCATCACGATAAGCTACTGTACATCTATAATAAAACACTTTTTGTAAAAGAAGAAAGAAAAATCTGTATTTTAGAAAAGAGCCGTCTCAGCCAAAATACGTGTTGTCACATTGGGCAATTTTAAATAAAGAGAATATTTGATGTGAGGAGCTTTTTTGTGCAAGATTTCTCCATTCTCAGCACTGAGAATGAAGGCAACCAGTAGCTGATTTCCTTTAGATGGTCTCATTTGATGGTCTCATTTGTCTTTGTTATAGCGCATACCTATCAGTCATACCCCCACGCGACATCACTGTGAAATCATAGTGGTCCACACCAAAGAACAGAACAATTAAAATAGCTGTATGCAGAAGTGATAGAAAAGCAAAATTTGACTGAACATTCTCTATAATATTTTATTATGTATTTCCTTACAATTAGACTTTGGGTTTTAGAGTTAATTTTTTGTGAATGAAATGACTTCAGGCAAATCTTTTAATGGATTTTCAAATGTCACTTATACTTTTTTATGTTTTGTGTGTTTGCAAGTATGAATGTACTCCTTCCTAAAACATAGTAAATGACTAGAAGTGTACAATAATGACTATTTGCAAGATTAAGTGATTAAAAGTGTCTTCAAAACTTTGTCAGGCCTGACTAGGTACAATTTTTTTGTCTGTAATGTACTTTGTATTCATGTATACATGTTGCCAATAAAGTTTGCAACTGGATGACACCGAATCTTACTTGAACAATGAAGAACAAAAATCATGGTTCTAAAAGATCTTTTTAAAAATCAGATTTTGCAGAGATCACCCTTAAACACTTTAATGATCTAAGAGAATGAACTGTGATAGCTAGAATTTTGTTGCTTAAAGATATTTTTCTGTACTGTACTTTCTCCATAGGATGGTAAGGGCATTCTAATCGACTTGCATGTTGTAAGCCTTTTAAATATATGTTAAACATACTGAATGTGGATTAAAATGTTGACCTGATTTCACATGTGAAAGTAAACTCTCTGATATGGAAGTACCTTCCATGACATGATGGAAGATTCATTAATCAGCAAAAGCCAACTGTAGAATTCACACGTTGTGTTCTGACAGTATGATTTGTGGCTTATAAACTGGAGTAATTAGAAATATTCCTGGGCACATGCTTATTGCTTAAAAGATGTGAACCTGAAAATAATCTGACTTTTTTCTGCGTTGATACAGTTATTACTGGAGATTTTGACTATATTTCCTTAGCTACCCTCTTATCTGATGGAGAAACTATGCAAATGTGAAGTGAAGCTCTGAGGTTCTACTCCGTGGGGACCTCATTTGTCTCCCGGGACCAAGACAGGTTTCTGAAAGAGAAACCGCTGACACTAACAGATCCTTCCAGCCCAGCCCTTTCTGTGTTAATGGAGGCAACATTGACAGTCGTGCAGAGTGGAAACAAATCGGTCTGCTTCAAACCCAGCGCTGTTGTATTAGTATCTGCACTTGCCACGACCCACAACTATTCCTATTTGTTCGACTGGTAAGGAAGAAGAGAATGATCCGTGGATTAGCTGTGTGTGCGCGTGCATGCGTGTGTATGTGTATGTGTGTGTGTGTGTGTGGTGATTTCCCACAATGATAAGTAGCCAGATCTTTCACTTACTGCACATAAAATGCAAGACCTGCAGAAATAAAGGGAAAGAACAACTAAAAATAGTTTCATTTTTCCGAAACTAGAAGCAGTGTTAAGATGCAAGGGGTGTTGAGGACATTCACAGGGTATCACCTTTGTAATTCAGTCCCTTTGTAATCTACGGGTCTAAGGGACAGCTGGCAAAATAGTTTTAACATCTTGTAAAGGATGTCTTGAAATCAAGTTCTTATTATATATATCTTTCCTACTTGAGAGACATACCTCACAAGAAAAACATTATTTTTTTTCTTATGTTCAGGTGTAGGCCAGACAATTAATGTGTACCAATGCTACAAAATCTGTCTAGGTTCTCTTTTGACTTACGGCATCTTTTTTTACCATTAAAAATGTTTAAGTTCATATTACAGCCAAATGTTTTTCTTCATAATTTGGGTGTTTCAAATATTTTAAGAACCTAAAATTTAATCTACTCAACTTTATTCTCCCATTGAGATGACTTATCTGCTGGAATTACTATGCATACCATGGTCCGGGGTCATGATAATGCAATAATTACTAGTTAGGCACATAAAGAACTAGAATAAAAATGAACAGATGAACAAAAGAAGCCAGGCGTGCTGGCGCCGCTGAGGTTAGAGGGTCACAGTGCCCACCCTAGCCTGGCCGATTTAGTTACTTGGTGAGATCCTCTTTCAGAACGGCTGGGACGGAGCTCAGCGTGAAGGCCCTGGGTTCAAATCAATCCCCACTATCACAAAAGGGGGTGGAGAAGAGAGCCGAAAGATTCCACTCCGGGGATTACACAGCAAGATGAGGTCGGATCTCAGGAGCCTTCCGGGCACGGGTACAGCTGTTGGGGAGTCGCAGATTTGAGAAGAGGCCGCCTGGCGTTTTGCTGCCACTAACTAGGGTCCTCGGGGTGCTGGGGTGTGTTCCTCTGAGCTCTCAGAAGGGAACCCTGTGGCCACTTCCCCACTGTCACAGACAAAACTGCAAAACGGCCCAGCAGCGAAAGAGCGAGAGGAAGGAGGAGAACTTGCACATGCGCTCTACCGCGCGAGTTTAAAGCCCGCGGCGCAGGTTAACAAAATTCCGCTCCGCCCTCCCGCGGAAGGCGCATGCGCAGCCTCGGAACTACGCGTACGGAGCCGACGTGGCGCAGGGGCCGCTGGGAAGATGGCGGCCGTGGGCCTCGCCGCTTGGCGTTCCTGTGTCAGCTGCGGCCGGGCAGCCGCCGCGTTCGACCCTCACCATGGCCTCGGCGCGATACTAACACGGAAGCCCCAGCGGGCGCCCTGGCGGCTACCAGGTCAGTGTCTGGACTGCGGGGCGCGGGGGGAGGTCTTCTTTGGAACGCGCCGCGTTCGGTCCCGCGCACCCTGCGTGTTCGGCACTCTGTGCGAAAGCGCGCCCCCGAGCTTCGCCGTGCGCGCGCGGGCGCC